ACAATCCCTTAATTCAGGGGATTTAAGTTAGGATAGTTTCCTATTTTATTTGTTCTCTGTAAGTATATAAATTCAATGATTGTACAGCATTATTATTTTGATTATAAAGAAGAATAATACTTCAGTTCTTCACAAAAACAGTGCTACAAACGTATCCTATGCTTCCGTTGGTGTGTTTTTGTCCCTTATTAGTTCCAATAATTCATCATCAATTGTTATCTTGATTAAAAACATTGCCTTACCCACATTAATCTTCTATTTCGTCATGTTCCAGTGTCATCCGATGGTGTCACGTCATTGTCGTCGACTACAACCCTAAGTATGACTCCATACAAGTGAGCCAAGTGGTTTAATTATATCTATTGAGCTTCTTCACTTTGTCCATGTAGGTCACCCATCATGCCTTGGATAATCTCCTAGTTACCAAGTAAGCTTTATGAAAATTCAAATCTCCCTTTTCAGATGATATCAAGAAGCTTGGAAAATATCCCCCCCCCCCCCACCCCCCCAAAACAAACTGCATCCTCTGAAACCAAATTGTAGAGTTTAACTCAAAAATTATAATGCACTTTATTACATAATCACATACATAGAAGGCCCCTCACCTATATTTTATTCACACAAATGGAAAAAGCCCTCATCCAATGCACACTATACCACAACTAGCACTCACTTGTTACTATCTCACATGCATGTACTCTATCAATCTTACACACTATATATGGACTAACCCATATATATAGAAGCTAAAGTCGGTGCACAAAATAGACTAAACTTTTCTAGACTATTCTACTTATGGAAGTGGACACACTAACTTTATTCTTGTATGTTGATAGCCATGGAAAAATCTAGAGATAGGAAAATGGAAAGATCTTGATTTTTCCTTTTCAAGTCATTGTTGTTTCTTCATTTATATGTTTATTATTTTTTTCATAGTTAGGTGAGTGAAATTTTACCCTTAACATGCCCAGCAACTGTCTCAGAACACCAATCTTGGAATTCTTTCAAGCTTTAGACAGACTGAATGCTCATTGAGCTTTTCGGGTTCTAATGCCTTCTAAGATGAATACCAAGACTCCACACTTTAAGATAGATATCGATTGCAACTCCAAGATGGACCTCATTCTTCAAGTTTCTAGTCAATCAGGTATGCAGAAAATTAACTTGTCCCTTGTAGATTAGCATTGATGTAACACAGTAAAATAAAGTTCTGCAGTAAGTGCCAATGGCCTATTGTTACTAAAGAGGCTACACAAATAGCTGCTTAATATGCAAAAATTTATGATAATGGCCTATATTGATTTCTTCTGCTGTTCTGTCCAATATGAAATCCAATTAGATCATATCAATTCCATTACACCTCAGGCTGCAAAGAATAAGGATCATCGACTAAGCACTAGGCCAAGAGAAACTTACCACCTTTACCAGATTGGCAACGGAGAAGTTCCCTCCACATTTAAAAATGTTCAGAAATCTCAATTCTACAGCCACACGTACTTGAACTCATAAGAAAATAAACCAGTCCAACTAAATGGTACTAGCTTCCAGACAGGCATAGGCGAAGGAACTAAGCATATGAATCTTTCATGTATGGGGTTGTAGAAAGGTTGACAATAATATAGCATTTGCAAGATTTGACAATAATATGCGAAGGAAATTATGCAAGATAACTGGAAAACTATCACAAAAAGCATAACATAGACAAAATAGCAGGTAAGCCTGTAAAGCCGTAATTGTAACACCTTCACCATCATTTACAGCACTCCGAAGCAAATTCTCTTGTTCTCGTATTTTTGCATCTTGAACCTTGTTGATGGTTGGAAGAACTATTGATCTCAGTCGTTTCGTATGAATGGAAATGCAAGCATCATTAGAACCTTCCCAGGCTGCTCCAATCTTATCCGTTATGGTCTGAAAATAGTATAGAAGGGGACAATTTCAAGTGTTATGATATGGATAATTCAACGGTGACTGGTCAACGATTAGGTCACTCACCTTTAGCTTCTCAAATTGCATAGAAACTGGTAGGTTTTCCATCCCATTTAACAATTGCTCTCTCTTTGTGTTGTCACCAATCTCCATTTCAGGCAAAAGCTTTGACGACAACATAGCAGGTAGAACTGTATCCCAAAACTTAGTAAATTACTCTTGTTCTTCAAGATGATTCTCTTATCTTGAGTAAAATATCTACCAATTTTCCTAACTGTTTCACAAACAAATGAAATTAACATCAAAATACCAAAAATAAATTAAAAAAGCATACCAGTAGCATTCTCGCGATTGACGTTGTTCGGATGCACAACCAAAAGCTTTGAAGCTTCCTCAATCTCTTTCAAAAGTGTAGATAGTCCCAATTCTACCATTGAAAATTTCCCCCAAATATAATACCTTTTGCAACCACAAAATCAGCTACATAGGAATAGCTACAATTATGAAATTTCATTAATTTCAGGCAAAGTCTGGGCAACTGAACAACATACCATTTAAGAAAAGTGTTAGTTCGTAAAATGGCGTCGAAATCGTTGAGGACTCTAGAGATGGTCTCGGAGAGGGTAATGGCACGACTCTTTACCCATTGGAGGTTGAAATACTGCAGATGCAGACGATTCAGCTCCTCCACCACTCTCTCAGGCGACTGCTTCTGTTGGACTCCGGCCGGCGCCGCCATTTACCATTCACGATCCGACCAATTATCCACAATATTCAGTTACTCCAGGGGGTTTCCGTAAGGGTAACTCGCTTTTAATGGAGTAGCCGTTGTTTCAAAAGTGGCTAAATTTCATTAACAATCACTGAACTTTCGCTGAATTTCAATTGAGCCACTAAACTTTAATATATCTCAATTAGATTATTGAACTTTAATTTGATTTCAAATTTCAAGACTGCGTTGATGAAAATTACTTAGTTAACAGCCATACACGTAAACATTAAATTGTCTAGAAGCAAAATTGATAGAACGAGAATTATGACAATATCATCATTAAATTAAAATGTTAAAATGTACGTTGATTTGTGGTAGTGATATGTCACTTTGATATTGACAAGTCATCTAACAATTGCAAGTTTGCTTACTATAAATGATTACTGGAACTAAAGAAATTCAAAATGCGAAACAATTTTTGAACACAAATATATTATCACAATTAGAATTATACTGCTTCTTGTGTTATTCAGAAATTTGCTTCTTCATTGTATTGGCTCAGAATCAGCGATTACTTGTGTCCATGATGATGTTCAAGATACGAGTAAAATTGGATATTGAATCGTGTCATATACGTGAAGTGATATTATACATGAAGTGAATTGTCATTCCGCTCCCCTAACTCAACTATGTCATTTATTCATATTTTGTAATTTACCTCCCTCACAAAACTCTAGAGATGGAATCGTAGGAGCCCTCAAGATTGGGGTTCAATCTTTTTTTTTTTTTTTTTTTTTAATTCCATTAACTGTGCTACCTGCACAAACAACCCCACATGTCCACCCCATGTGATAGCCTCTATGCAAATGCGTCCTGCACAGTTTTTCTCTTATTTCATTATATAGTCACATACCAAAACAATAATATATTTAATTCTGAGATATGATTAATGAATGAAATGAGTCAAACGTCAGCGTCCAAGCAAATCATATTTCGCCCGGCGGTACCATGTCCAGGTAGGTTTGCTGAAATAATTTTCTATATTTCCCTCTCTCTCTCTCTCTCTCTCTCTCTGGACTGCGATTAATTCCAGCACCCAATTTTCTCAACTTATTCAAAACCCTAGAATCATCTCCAATCCCAATCCCAATGTATTTATTGATTATGCTCCTCGGAAATCGAAAATCTTGTTGAATATCAGGTCAGTCCAGATTAAGCTCTTTATTTTTTTGCTCAAAGTTTGATCTTTGATTTTTTGATCGTTTTCTAGTCGTATATGAATTCTGCCCAAAATTGTAATGCTTGACGATCTTCTTTAAATAATTCCCATAAAGCTTTGTTATCCAAAAATGAGGAATTCTGACTTCCCAACTTTGCACGTGGCAATACTGAATTCTGCCAGTTGAAGCTAAATAGAGGTTAAACTTAAAAGTAAAATTCCATTGGGATTATGTATGTAACCGAAATTATTTTTGTTGGCGTGTTGTCGACTTTCCATTTAGGATTGAATGCAATAGTTTTTATGCCAGTTTAAGTTTAAGGTATGGCTACAATGAAATTATAGTGCTATCAATATATTTAATTTACTTGGAATGTCAGTCTTGGTAACCCAGACTTCACAGGTAACATTATGGCCAACTACTAAATTGAGGTGATGTATGAGTTGCATTTCCTTGGAATCCTAGTACTAAAACATTTACCTATATAAAGAAAAAAGTGATGGGGGTGACGGAGAACGAAGACTGAGAACGCACTTCAATTAGTTAGGATGCCATTACAAGTTAAAGGAAGTAAATAATAACAATCAATGTGGGAGTCGAGGAAAAAAAAAAATTGATATTCATAGCAGTTCTTGTCCAGTAGAATACATGTATCTAATTCATCGAAAGTGACAGTTTTGATTATAAATGGGGTTCATTTTAGGCCAAGATAAATACTATAGATTGTTGTTATTCTCAATTTGTTTAGCTATATTAACACAAAGCCAAGGTTTTTAAATGCTCCTTAGTTAATATTACAGTTAATTTCAGCAGAGTGACAGCTTCTCGTAACTGTTGCCACTAATCGAATAAGATATTCTAAGTGAATGATTGTTTTATTATTTGACTTATCTGGATTAAGCATTGGTTTCCAGAAGTTGACTTATACCATTCTAGAATCACCATTGAAACATTAGTTTGATGGGTAATGCATGGATTTCTTTTTTCTTTCCCACGGCTAAGCCATAGAATTCCCGTTACATTCTTGTGGATTGAAATGTGATTCTTGGAACTCAACAAAATGAGCATTAATATTAATCTACTGGCTAGAGATTGTGTATATTACAAGTTATGGCTACTATTTATTGAAATACTATTTGAGGATGATTTGTAGTTGCAATATAGGTTTATAATAGTGCATTCAAGATGGAGCACACCTGCTTCATTGAAATACTATGTGTACATTAAAAGATATGGCTACTAGCTTCACCCGAATGAAGTTTAAAAAGTTACTTTCCATTGTTTGATTGTAAGCTTGTAATTAGCATCTCGCCTTCTAGACTGTCTGTGAAGCTAACAGAGGAAATCTTGATCTGATCTAACTTTCTATGCAGGTTTTTTAACTGAGATGGTTTGTGGCAATAATATCTTTGGCCATGATTGTTGCAATTTAATTTTCATTCAAAATTTTTAGCAATGCAATTAGTACCAGATGATAATCGGACAGAAGATATTTCAGAAACAGAGCCCATTTTGTCGCGGCCTAGTAGAGTTGAGAGCTCAGAGGAATCTTCCTCGTCAATTGAAATAACTGTGTGTGGCGATTGTTCTGTATCTTCTGATGACCTTCCCAGTCCTGATATTCATCAAAATTACTCTCTGGTGCAAACAGACCAACCACAATGCCGGATATGCCTTGACTCTGAAGGTGTTTTTTCATCATTTACATTTTCCTTACTTGAGCTAAAGAGTTGTGAAAAGATGTTTATATAATACTTGTGTTATGAATGAGTTTTTGATAGTCGACCATTTATTATTGTTTAGTTTGAGAACCGGTAATGCTACCGTGATTTTATTGAAATTTCAGTTATTATATTTAGGAGAAGATTTGATTGCACCGTGCCATTGTAAAGGCACCCAAAAGTTCGTCCACAGATCATGTCTTGATAACTGGAGGTCAACAAAGGTAAAATTATATACTTTTTATCATTCTCAACTTTTGTGATCTCTTATACCCGAGAAATTTTGCCGATTGATGAGGCTAAATTTTAGGAAAAAATGTTTCCAAGTTCTACAAGAAAATCCTTCCACCTAAAATGCAATTTTATATCAAGTGGTTTGGATTATATCATGATCTAGTTGTGATGCTTTTAATTTGCCTGACCAAATCGTATTCCATTTTGTTCTGCTGGCTGCTTGCTAGCACCCAAGCTGCATCTTACCTATTAGTATAGCACCCAAGCTGCATCTTACCTATTAGTATGAGTTTGATAAATGTAAAATAGAATTGGGAAATTAGCAAATAAAGAATAAGAATGCAATTATTGACAGCCCCACATGATCTCCTTGAATTTGAGTTATTTTATATTGAGTTAATTTATTGATTTCACTATCTGTAATTTATTATACCAGGTATTTCACATATAATGCAAAGGGTCATGATATCTGATTCATTTCTCATTGGTTTACTCTACTGCTAATGGTTTGTAAGAGTTTTGATTGTAAAATTTGATTTCACAAGACCTTTCAGTTGAGCTAACTCTTGATTAAATGTAGTAAAGAAGTTTCACATAGCCAAACCAAAGTTTATATGGAATAGCACAGCTTCTTGTTGTTTGTAGCATTCCTCATTTTGTTATTATCCTTTTCTTTCTTTCGTCATTTGCTTTTTGGGAGGGGTTGAACCATAGAAGGCATTGCCATTCAGAAACTCAGTTTATGGTGCTTGTTGGCTGATTGCAAGATTTCCTGGAAATGTCTTCAAATATCTTATTTTACCTGATCCACTTCATGTTGATTGCTTCGATAGTTTCGTTGGACTTGATAAGAAAAGTTCATTAGCTGGATTTCCTTGAATTTAGAAGATTCCACATAATATGATTGAAATCTTTTCCGTAGTTTTGTCCTTTTCTCCTAAGGTATAGTATTAGCTAAAGAAGATTTTTCATTTTGTACTTTTGCCTACCCAACATTTTTCCTGATAGCAACTTTTTTATTAATTATTCATCTTTTTCTGCCTTCCACCATTCAGGAGGGCTTTGCTTTTGCTCACTGTACAGAATGCAGGGCAATGTTTATTTTGCGTGCAAACGTCCCCCCTGACCGTTGGTGGCTGAGGTTAAAATTTCAAATTCTCGTTGTAAGGGACCATGCAGTCATTTTTGTTGTTATTCAGCTGGTATGGAATGTTTTCTTTTGGCTGTATTTTTATCAAAATGTTATGATGTTGTGGTCAGTGTTATAATTACTGAAACGGTCATTGAATCAGAGTGTGTGTCTTGTTAAATACAAAGATGCCAGGACAAAGATCTGTCTCTTAGATCTCCTCTGTTTTTCTTCCCTTTTTTGGTAGTTTTAATCTATAGTGTCTAAGCTTCCTCTTACAATGGCCTATCTGATATCAAACCTAGCTTACTTTCAGCAGTTGTTTATATTTCAATGCTGCCATTCTACTAGCTACTAATTAATTATCAACAATAAGGCGTTCATTGCATGTATGTAGCATCCCCCCATTTTAATGTTAAATGTATGGTTTCCATTTAGTCTCTTCACTATGTATAAATTTTCATAAGTGGAGTCTCAAGTGGCGCAGTCTATGATGTAGTAATGAGAGTCACTACAGCTTATAGACCAGGGCAGACTTACCATAATTTAAAGGAACTAATTCATCATCAATTGTTTGTTTGACGTATAGATGTTTCCTGTTGTAAATTTTGTATTTTCCCCTTATTCCACTTAACAATATCTGTAATTCCCAGTTTTCTCCTGATTGTCCAATCCCCTAGAACTTTTCAGATTGCCCTTCCAATATATACAAAAACAATCAAATTACTTCCCAAGTGCGATGACCAGTTAATGCTATAAATGTTCCACAAAATGGTTTCTGAGAGAGTCAGGCAGGGTGTAACCATGTCATAGTAACTCGTCAATATTGGACAGTACATCTAAATGCCTTGCAATTACTTCCTATTTCTTTAATACGACCTTAAAATTAATCAACAATACGTCTGCATACTTTTTTATAGTAAACATCTCTGGCTCTTAGATACTCGCACAGGAAATTGGGATTGGAGATCTCTCATAATATAAGTTTACGATACTTGTCTTGATATGAGAATGCCTTAACTATGGTCTATGGACTAGGTGCCTCAACACTTTTAGAGTCGACTGAATTATTGATATGTCATTTAGCTTGCAGAAAGCTCGCTGAAAATCCAGGACTCAGACCCTGGTTTTTTAATAACTTAATCCACTGTCAATATTGTTTCTTGCATCGCATGCTCATGAAGTATATTCGAAAACGTCCCTAAATTTTGTGAAGGCTGATAAATTCTATTTCTTAAAGTATTGAGTTCTTTTGTTTTGTAAGCACTTTGTTCGCATAATATGAGAAAGCTGTATGTATGAAAGACAAATGTCCTTCCATGTTTCGAGTTGTTTTGGTTATTTCTTGTTCTTGTGACTTTGCTTTTATAGTATTGTTGCTTCCAACATGCTCTAGATGTGAAAAAACTATGTTTAGAGACATTTTTCAGTAATGATAATCAGTATTTTCACACTAAGACTTTCTGTAGATTGTTGCGTTTCTAGGTGTACTCGTGTACAAATTTTATGGAGAGGAACTCAGGGAAATGTTTGGTTATGAAGAACACCCGTATGGATTCTACACAATGGCAGGTAAATGGCTCTAACCTATTTTATGATTGTATGTTAGCTTTCTTTTTCATTGTTAACTGCGTTTTGATCAGACGATAATGGTTTATCAATTGCAACATCAATAATCTTGACATCTCAAGACACATCCTGACATTCGGCATATGACTTCTGTAATGTCAAGTGACATTGAAGCAAAATTACTTTGCTATTGAATTCCCTGATGCCGTAATCTGGTTGTGTTTTCTCCTAACTTTGGATAACTGATTTATCAGCATGAGAGGAAGAACTCTTGTATTTCAGAAGATCACCTTGCTCATCTTGATCTAATTAAACTAACATCCTTATAAACTTCATCACCTATTTTATAAAAACTCATTGTATTCTGATGACAAGGGAAAGACTAATTTATGCCTGCTGGGCTGTTCTAATCATGGGAAACAGTCTCTTTATACCAGCAATGCCACTGAGAATGTGTTGGTTGCTTGGTTACAATGCACAAGTGATGCTACTAGCTGACAGAGTGAGTATTGATTAAGGATGTTCTAAGACCATAGATCAACCTGCTGACTGTGTTCCTTAGGCCATAAGTGCAATATTTGTGATTAGAAATCTGTGGATTCAACTTTCTTAATTTGGTATTTTATATATATTTTAGCAAGCTAGATTTCTCGCTTCACCATATTGATATATTCTTATCTTTTTTAATTTGTCATCTGCAGTTTTAGCAATTGTGTTGGTGGGATTGCTCTATGGATTCTTCATTGCAATAATATGCGGACAGAGGATCAATGAGCGTCACTACCATGTTCTTGCCAAACAAGAACTAACAAAGGTTTAACGTTCCATACTGACTTCTTGACTAATTATTTGTGGATGTGCTCTATTATGCCTGGGGAAAATAATACGAATTGAATCAAAGTGGGTCATCTCAATCAAAGGAACTAATCATCTTGTCTCCCCCTGTTCACACGTGTCAGTCAACATTGATCATTTATTGAGCTATTCACTAAAACCTCCTTTTTTTTGTCTTTAACTATTCATGATGGATTAGAATCATTTGGGAGATAGAAACTTAAATTTGGAATGATGTACATTTCTTCATTGAAATTTTGGTGAAAGTTTGTGAGATCTTAAAGCATTACGTCTTCTGAGTTGATATTGATTTTAGTTTTATCGTTTTAGGAATATGTGGTAGAAGATCGAGAAGCTAATAAAGATGTGCCTGACCTTGATCCTAGCCTTGTGACTGAGCTAAGAATGCTCGGCCTCTATTGAAGCAAGAACTTTTGTCTGCCTAGTAGTCACTTCTGTAAGTGTTGAATGCTGTTTCCTTCTCAATCTACCTATTATTAAACACATCTCTGTCTGAGAAATCCGACATTTTGGATCAGTGTTTCATTTTTTTTTCTTTTTTCGAGTGATGATTATGTAGCTCTAGTTAACCACTGCATTCCTTAGTCATAACCAGAGAAATTCTCAGTGGCATCATTTCATAAGTTGTACCTTTACCAAATATTGGGTTAATTTATTTGTTTTATCTCATAATTTGTGATTAACATCATGGAATTAAAATGAATAACGAGCGTTCAATTCAAGAGAAAAAGATATTCAGACAATACTATTGTTTCTAGGTTATGTGATTTCAATCCAAAAGAAGGTCTTCTATAAATTTTAATGGGTTGATATGCAATGAATTACACGCTAAAGGACTTCCCTCTTGTAATTGGTTCGAATTACATAGACTTCTGCCAAGATATTTATTTTACGCATGTGGTCACAATGCAAATGTAGCTTCATTGAGCAAAGTGTAAGGTTTATTCAATGATCTCCTTGCTCTTGTGATCTCCTCGCTCTTGTAATTTATTAATTAGTTTTGGTGGAAACCATATGAAGAGAACGCCCAAATTCTTGTGCATTTATACAATTTACGTAGTAGATTTCACAAAGTGGAGCGGGGCATATTCAGTCAATAAGCCAATGTTGGCTACTTTAGTTGCTAGGCAGTATTGTTCTGCCTTGCTTCATGTTTATTCCTTGTTCAAAGTTGCACCACATCATTCTACACACTACTTATTTTTGAGATGCCTCTTGTGTTCTAGTATATTAATCCCAGTTGGTTTTAACGATTTAAATTCTGCAAACTTTATGACATGCCCACGTTACATCATTGAAGTTCTAATACAAAAAGTATCTTTACCAGGGTTTCCATTCCACGGTGCTTTGGATGTATTACGGTTTTGAATGGAGATATTTACTTGGAAACCGCGGTAATTGCATTAATCCTCTTATTCAAGCCGCATATTTGGAACTGTGTTTATATATGTAATTTTCTTTTCATAGCCGTGGCGTCTGAATAGAAAAGCCATGTTCATGAGTCACATTGTCTCTTTCCCCTCAAATTTTATATAGTTTACTTGCTGAATCTTGTTATTATATGATATAAGTTGTTTTCACCTTCATTTCATCACTATAATGTTGTTTAGTCTGTTCCAATGGCTTCAAAACTAATGCTCTTATGAATTTGGCAACGAAATGGTTTTATGATTTTCGCAACGAAATGGCTTCAAAACTAATGATCTTATTTATGGAGATCAGCAAATTTCATAAACGTGCACATTTCAAGTAATAAGCCATTGGATGAAGTTCTTCCGAATTCTTTAATAACGATGCAACTACTTTTTTTGAAAGTTACATAGTTCATACGAGAAGTGTAATCGATATTTAAAAAATGCATTTTTAAAGAGTGATTGATGGAGAATGTATGGTTAAAAATTAAGGAAAATGTTTTAATTTGCGTGTAAATATTATTTTATTGAATGATATGTGATTGAAAATGAATTTTGAAAAAATGAATTTTTATAAGAATGAGGCTCAAATAATAAGCAACGATGATTAAAGTGTAAATTAGTGTGTTTGCTTTGAGAAGTTTTGCCTTTCATTTTGGATGATTATATTGTCACTAGAATTTTTATTTGATACATCGTATTTTGTAGTTAAGCTCCTCAATCTTGCTCATTATGACAATTATTTCTTTAAATTTTTTTCGTTGAATTCTCTCAGGGCCATTAAGCTAAGAACCCAACTGTAAACTTTAGGATCCCGTGGAATTAATCGAGGTGTACGTAAGCTGATCTGGACACTCATGGTTTAAAAAAATAAATAAATAAATAAAATAAATCAAATTCTTCTTTTCACCCTTCCATTAATTAGTAAGTTTCGTTCTTAATGATCATTTATATAAAAGTATTTTTTTTTAATGCTTTGAAATGGAAAAATGATCTTCATACTTACTTATTTATTTATTTATTTTGTAAAAACATGATGGGAAAATAAGTTGTTTTACGCTATTTCAATGGACTTTTGGTTATAAAAAATGTTATCAAATACAAATATGTTAACTAATAGGAAGTTGGAGGATAAGAAAGACATGAAAAACTGTTGGGGACACAAGTGTTATAATGAGCAAAGATTAAGAATTTTTTAAGTGTAATTAAAATGTGATGCAATAAATAAAATTTGTGCGAATACAACTTCTCTTTCGTTATACTTATATTGATCTCATAGTTGAGATTAACCTTTAAACCGAAAGCCATTAGTTAACAAACTAAAAGCATTTTCAAGAGGTTCTCTATTTTTAAAAGAGCATATTCTATAAATAGCAACTATAAATTTAAATAGAAAAAATTTTAAAATGTTCCAATAGCCTCTTTATTTTTAATATTTAATTTTATCATTCCCAATATGTATTTATTGTTTTTTCTTTCATTCTTTTATTTTTGCCATCTTCCCTCCAATAATTACCATTTCCCTCCATTTTCTTTTTTAACTCAACTGTTGGTCTTAATTTTCAACCCATTCCAAACAAATTCAAGGTTTATTCATTTTATCAACAAATATTATCTTTCTTGTACAAGAAAAGAAATGCATTTGTGTTCTTTTTGAATGTCTTCAAGTAGATTAATCAAATTGATTCTTGATGACTCCGACTCTAATAATGATTTGGAGATGGCAATAACATTCATGGATGGAGAGTTGCTCAACAAAAGGAGACGGATACTACATCAAGGCTCAATTCGAGGTCATAAATATATATTCCGCACCAAAAGCTTTTTAATGACTATAAGGATCCTGTGTATTCTCCAAATTTATTTCGAAGAAGGTTTCGAATGAGCCAATCCCTTTTTATTCGTATTCAATCTACCATAGAAACCCATGACCCGTACTTTATCCAAAGAAGGAATGTAGTTGGAACTCTTTCTTTGTCTTCTCTACAAAAAATTACTGCTACTTTGAGGATGCTTGCATACGAAGCTGCAGTATATTTTATTGATGAATAAACATAAGAATTGGTGAAAGCACTACAATTGAGAGTTTAAAAAGATTTGTTAAGGCTGTGGTTTCAATCTTTTCAAATAAATACATGAGAACACCAAACAAAGAAGATGTTGTCGAATTACTAAAAGAATGCAAAAAACGTAAGTTTCATGGAATGTTGGGGAGCATTGATTGTATGCACTGGAAATGAAAAAATTGTCTAATGGCGTGGAAAGGTATGTACATTGGGCATGTTCGTGAACCCACTATAATTCTTGAAGCTATAGCTTCCCATGATCTTTGGATATGACATGCATTTTTTGGCCAGCCAGGATCACATAATGATATAAATGTTCCAGACGGATCATTTTTATTCAGAGACCTTGTTGAAGGTCGTGCTCCCCCAGCCAACTACTCAATCAATGGCCATAACTATACAATAGGATACTACCTTGCTGATGGTATATATCCTCCATGGTCAACATTTGTGAAATCGATTTCATATCCAACAGATAACAAATATAAACAATTTGCTACAACTGAAGAATCTGCAAGAAGAGATGTTGAGCGAGCATTTGGAGTGTTGTAATCACGATTTGCAATTATTCAAGGAGCAGCATGTTTTTGGCATCGTGAAACTCTAGAAGATATTATGAAAGCTTGCATCATATTACATAATATGATTGTTGAAGATGAACAACATACTACTAATATAGACTTTGATTATGATGCGGTGTATGAGGTTCCAAACATATCAGTTTTACGTGAGCATGTAACAGACTTTTTGAAATTTATAGAAGGTCATCATCGTATTAGAGAGAAATATTCACTCTCAGCTCCAAAGAGACCTCATTGAGCACATTGGGAATATACATGGAGCTCAAAGCATGTCTTGATCTTATGAATTAGATTTTAGAATTATATGTTCTTATGTTTTATCCCATCTTAAGAGTTTTTTCAGTTGATTTATTTCTTTAAATTTCTTTTCTTTCATGCAAATGCTCTAAGAAATGGTTATTCCTAAGAGGGGCAGGGATAGGGGGGAGCAAATACTCGAATTACATCCCATTCTTGCCTAGTTTTCAGTTCCGATGTTGCAATAATTAATCACAGCAACATAAGGAAGGCAAGAAGAAAAAGGAATTCAAACTATATAAAAGATAAATTAGTTGCTATCTTGATAAGCTAAATTCACAGGCTGGAATATGCTGAATTTCACATAATGATGAAGATAGCAATTTCTACCATATGCTGGACTTTTACATGAGAAAAAAGAACCAGTTAGCCCACAATATGTATGCAAATACTCATGGACCTGCTTCAGCAGATTTTAGTTACTCCATTAATCAAGCTAAATTCAACGACCTACAGTTCTTTTTGCAAGAATTTCCTTTTGACGTTGCATATAAAAATTTGCCAGAATTTGAGGCATTCCAGTTGTATCTATCATTATGATCCTTTCATCCTCTTTCATTTGTTCCTTTCTTGCTCATAGGCAAGTCTCTCTTGTTCTTGAGCATATTGTCTTTCAAACATTTCTATTTTCTTCTTATTTAATTGTTTCTTTTCTTCTCTCATTGCTTGTAACAAAGTCACACATGCACTTGATGAGTCATTTCTAGTATCTTTATACTTCATCTTCTTTCGATCTTTTTCGGCTTTTCTTCCAGGTGGTCTTTCCAAGTCCACGGAGTTAGAATTTGGAATACTATCATCTCCAAGATCCACACAAGTCTCTTGTGTGTGACCGAAGGTGAAATTAAAGGAAGAACTTGTGGTTTTCTCTCATCGGTTTTTTATTTTGGCAATCTTCCAACCACTTTGGCTAGTACCTTAGCATATTCCAGCAATGTTCAAATTGAAATGGATGTTTGCCTTTAATGAATTCTTGGTACAAGAGTTTTGCATTAGCAATCTGGAAAAATAAAATAAAATATCAAACTAGAAATGAATTATTAATGATACGTATATCAAAATAAAAATTATCGTAGATACCTTATCCTGCTCGTTAACAACACTTTGGTTTCTAGATTCAATTTGGGCATAGCATTCACAAAATTTATTCGTAGCTAGTTGAATGGTTGACCAACGATTTATCAAAGAAACTTGTGTTCATGTACATTTAAATTTCTTGTACTTGTGAAAATATTCTCACAATCTAGTCCAAAAGGCCTTTTGTTTCTGTTCAATGCCATGTAGTGCATTCAAACTAACATTAAGCCACGTTGACACAATGAGAATAACCTCTTCTACAGTAAAGTTTCTACCTCTTGATCTTTTAGAGTTGGGTTCCAATGGAGTATTTGACACATGAAATTGATCATCAAAATTGGGATATTGGGTTGAAAACTATTTTCATTTGTATCATTATATTGATTTTCATCCATGTTGGTTTGAATATCCATGTTGTAGGGAAAAAAAAAGGATAATATACAATATATTTGAATCAGATACATTTATTGCAGAAATAGTCGTTGCAATGATTCAATGAAGAGATATTGATATTTGCATATATTATTTAAATAAGTCAATAAAATGTGCATTGGAAATTGGAATCTTTGAAGCAATAAATTATAGAGAGGTGGCTCTAAAATGTTAAATTGAATAATCTATTGAAGTAACGTTTTAAAGATTATCTCTTTAAAATAGACAGCATTCCACTTTTAAAGAGGCACTTGGAGTTGCTCTAAACTTCAATGTTGTAGTATAATAATATTAGATTATACAAGAGATGAGAAAAATATCTTACCATAATTATCATAATAGTCTTAAATAACTTCCAATTACAAAATAATAATAATAATAATAATAATAATAATAATAATAATAATAATAATAAATTAGAAAGTTTTTTTTTACTTGAACCAGAAATGTTACACGATAATCTTGGTCTGAAATTGAATTGAGATTAGCATACATTGTATTCAATCACTTCATCTGTTGTACTAAATATTCCAAGTTACTCCAAGAATTGCCTCCTTTACTGATGCTTTTTCTAGCCATTTCCTTCAGCCTAATCACATTTTCCCTTACAATCTCATCAGAAATAAGTTTTTCTACCTTGTGCTTAATTTCGGACCTCGATATTACCCCAATTTCGTCCACTTCCAACGACGTACCAACCTTCCAAGCCTCACAAATACAACTCTGCGTATACATCTGATCTCCAAAATACGGCCAACAGAGTAAAGGCACGCCCATGCTTAGGCTCTCCATGAACGAACTCCAACCACAATGCGTTACAAAACACGCAATGGAAGGGTGACATAACACCAATTCTTGGGGGGCCCACTCGACCATTTTCCCTCGATTGGCCACTCTTGCTGAGAACTCGTCTGAGTAAGCAGGAAATGGTCCGTCACACAAGCCTGACCAAGCCACCCATAAAAATGGCCGGCCCATGAGTTCGAGTCCCATTGCTAGTTCATTAAGTTGTACCTGGCTGAACCTTGATGTGCTGCCAAATGCAACATAAATTACTGAGTTTGGAGACTGTTTGTCAAGCCAGGTTAAGCAACTAGAGTCTTCGATACAAAAACTTCCGGCTGATTGCCCATTGGCAAGTAACGGACCAACAGACAAAATATTAGATGCCAGACTACCGGCTGAAGGGTCGAGCTCGTGGAACCAGTTGCAAATGATCCAGTCAGAACTCTTCAGGTGCGAAAATACGCCTTTAATAACGTGGAACAACGATTTTTGTATGTTTTTGTCTCCTGGAAAGTACCAAGTAAATTCAGACATGGTAATGGCTGGCATGTTTGGCAGCAGTTGGATCTTCTCATTCTTCAATGAAGTCCCTGCAGAGTCAAAAACAATTTCCACATCGAATTGTAAATACTCTTAAAGTCCAAATTAGTACACTTTTGATGCATTTGATAAAGCAGACTTGACAGTATTAATGAAGAAAAAGAAATTCAAAATCCCGTTTAGCATAGTGTCCTATCATATCTGATAGTGCAGTCCCGTATGTGTAGCATGTAATTTGAAAGCTTCAAGTCAGGACACTTTTTTGACACATCTAATTAGGCAGACTCGACAATTGTGGACATTGTTAATATAAAAATAAAATGAAGTTAAAATCCTGTTTAGATTGTGTCCTGACCTATTTAATACTACAGTCTTCTGTATGTAGTTTATGAACTTACCGTCATGGTTGATGATTTTAGATTGAATAAGATCTGAAATCATGAATCCTAGGTCTGCATCCAAGTGTAGAATCCCAATAAATTACACTCTTTATTCCCATCATATTAGGGATTTTCAACATCGAAGCCCATGGTGCATCAATTACGATACCACTTATCTTCTCATTAATATCCTGGTATTTTTTTCTTAAGCAAATCCTCCAAATAAGAAGGCATAACTTTTCAAGATCCTTTCTGTCGTCTTCAAGTTCAAGCCCATCGGGAATCAATACTACCTCAATTTTAGAATCGGTTGTTGCAGCGGCCATTCGATCATGCATAAAATCTTCTGTAAGAAATGAGACTTTGCTACCAAATTTGACAATTTGGTGTGATAGTTTGATAAGAGGTGCTTCATGACCTTGCAAAGGGCAGGAAACAACCAAAATGTGCCCATAATTTTCTTTCGAGATTTTCAAGTTTTGATTCATACTGTGAAATGCAGATACCAGATCAGCAAATGAACCTAAACTCAATCACAATCTTTGATGATAACTTATGATGGGTGACATTTTTAATTTAAAATTAGTTTTCGAGAATAATCAAGTTGATTGATTGAAGTGTTTCCCATGTTCATATCAGCAAAGAATATACGGACACTGAATGAAACGTTTACTTGATGACTTAAATAATAGTTAACACCAGTTCAATCTAAAGAAAAATATTATTGAAGTATCAAGATTCTTGATTTCTCACAGAGTATATATTGGTAAACGAAAATATAAAATGTTTCATTTTGTTTATTAATTAAAATAACGATTACTTGCAAGAACTATATAACTATAATATCAAAAGACGAAATAATTAATTAGCTGAGACAAAAGTTGGCATAATAACGTATCAAGATTCTTGATTTCTCACAGAGTATATATTGGTAAACGAAAATATAAAATGTTTCATTTTGTTTATTAATTAAAATAACGATTACTTGCAAGAACTATATAACTATAATATCAAAAGACGAAATAATTAATTAGCTGAGACAAAAGTTGGCATAATAACTGGTAAACTAGAGGTGCGTCCTTATAACTTAGGGGCAGGGGGAAAATCTACGACGTGGAAAAGACTGGACCTTAGTTGCTTCTATTTTTCCACAAAAAACAGACATGAGATAAGAAATTCAATGTTTCACTAAGATTTCGAATAACAATTCTAAATTAAAGTTGAAAGATCATTTAGGAGCCTTAGCTGGTGATTTGGATTGTTCCCCTCTCAAACCCTTTTCTTTTCCCATAAGATGATTTGTCCCATACCCGTAAACATGGATTGATTGCAATCGTTCCAAAAAATACTAAAATGACGACATCTCATAATAGTAGCATTTCAAATTATGAGAACAGGGAGTGGAATAATGCCTTGAACCCTCCTCCAAATCCCTTCAATTTTCAATTTCATTTTCCTAACAGCTTTTCATGTTTCATTCAAGTGACTTAGTTTCGACCTTAATTTTTTATTGGTTTCAGAAACCATATCCTAAAAATCTTCTCTCATTGGAGAACAATTTCGATCTGGGAACCTCCAAAAAGAATCAATGATCTGACTCAAACATTGGATCAATGTTTAAGTACGTAATAGACACTTTAATGGATAAGATTGCAGCCCATTTTTTCTTTAATAATGTCCAATCTTACATAATTCGCCCTACCAATCAAGCATAAAAGTTTTATATTAGTGATCTCAATAAATGATAATAAAGAAAGTCTTGTACTTACCATCATCATCGATAATTTTCAACTGAAGAAGGTGTGGAATCATTAATCCTAGAGCCAAGCATCCTGGAGTTGAACACCAATAAATTGCAGTCTTTATCCCCATCTTCTTTGGGATCTCCAACATCCAAGCCAATGGTGAATCAATTATGATACCACTTATCTTGTCATTATTCTGCTGATTAAAACTTTCCTTGAGCAAATCCTCCAAATAAGGAGGCACAACTTTTTCAATACTTTGATGCAGTTTCTTTTGATCTTTTCTATCATCTTCAAGTTCAAGCCCATCAGGAATGGACAGTAGCCTTATTTCAGAATTGGCTGTTGCTTCAGCCAGTCGAGCATGCAAAAATTCCGTCGTAAGAAATGTAACTTTGCTACCAAATTTGATCATTTGGTGAGACAGTTTAATAAGAGGTGCTGCATGACCTTGCAAAGGGCAGGACACAACCAAAATGTGCCCATAATTTTCATTTGAGCTTTTTGAGCTTTGATTCATAATGAAAAATACATAAAACCAAAGGAATAGATGAACCCGTCTATTTATAGTTTGCATTCAAAGAAAGGAACCTAATCTTTCTTGATAATCACAATCTTCTTCACTCCTTAATCCTCTCTGCGTAGGCCTAACAAACTTCTAAATTTTAGGGGTGATTCAATTACTTTCTGTTTTAAGTATGTTCACTCCTTTCTAGCCGATAGATTCAATAAGTTCTTCCCCATCAAAAACGTCCAACATGAAACTAAAAGCTCATACAAAATGAACACGCACAACAAAGGCCATGAGGCGCGGGGAGATGTCATGCATAATTTTGAACAAAAATGAAATTCTAAGAAATTCCACTGCAAAAGCAGCGACTATCAGTTAATATAATATCACTAATCACAGAATGGTTCAATCTAGAAACGTTTGAGACTGAGTGCAAATAGTTTCATCAAAATAGTAGCAAACTGAAGTGGATTTTCGTGTTTACACTCTGGCTAAAACACACTGGTAAAACCAACTTGTAATAGAAGGACACCAAAGTAGTTATAATTCTATAAGTCTTAACGATGTGAGACACAATTAGAGCAAGTACAGTCCACTCTTCTTTTCAAGAACAGACACCCACGATAGTCATATTCCTATCTAGGTAAATTTACATAACCAATCTTCTATCACATCACCCATCAACAACAAGGGTTATATCCAGAAGGGTCACTTCTCTAATACCAATGGTTAAAACTAAAAGGAGATGGTGCCCAAGTAGTAACGAGTTACACTTAATGATGTGGAATGCAACAAAGAGAAATTACACATCATGTCGACCCACACCATCCTCTGCCAACGTAACCAGTATAATTCTGGACACTTTTAAGGTATAATCTTTGCACTGATCATTGTAAGAGCATCCCTCCCAGATCAATTTGACACTGAAACTTATCCTATCTAATTTTGAAGGGAATGTCAATAGATTTATTCTACTTGAGAATATATAGAAATTACAGCTACATATGAACAAAACAGCAAAGCCCCACCATCTTTAATACGAACAAGCAACAATAGAAATTTCAACATGACCAATTATATCAAGGAAAATGAGTAGAAAACAAATATAGTTAATGTATTAACACCAAAGTCAAAGTACACCAGTTTCATAGCAGAACAACACCATCTATAATCCTTTCCCCACTTTTGTAGTCTAGTACCGATTGAATTTGTTTACCTATCGAATCAATTTCAGCTAAAATCTCCTTGATTAAGAAACAGCCCATAAAATATTTCTAAATCTTGTCAAGTAATGTCATTTCAATCAGCATTATATCTCAACTTTAATATATGCTACCTCCCCCCTTTAACAGGTAAACGCCGGGAATGATTTTTTGTCGAAAGAAACAAAAGAGCTCCGATCCCAGCAGCAATTCCAACTCCAAGAACAATGGAAGGCAGATGAAGATTCGATTGTTTTTTGTTCTGCATAACTTCCCACTGCAACTTAACGTCGTCTGGGTGCCATAAACTCAAGTGCACAGCCAGTGTCATCTTCATATCAGAATCAAGGGGCGTCCGAATTACATCCAAACACACAGGACAAAAAACCATCGAATGTTCTCCGTCTTTCTTTATAGTAACCCTACCGGCCACTGCTATTGCTTTATCCCGCAAAGTTGTCTGAGGAGTGGGCTGAGAAAACTGAAGGAAATTTTGATTACCAGATTAACTACTCAGCCAATAATTTTTTGATGCGACAACAAAATCACAGTGGGATTCAAATCAAACAAGCAACAAAAACTAGAGAGGAAAACTAGTTCACCTTTATTAGATTACAAAACTGCATCCATTTTAATCTGAGAAGCCTCTTCATGTTCATTTTTCCCCTTTTTCTGGACTAAAAAGTAGCTCTCGACCCTGTTCATAAGATTATGCGGAAACATTACACTCAGCAAGTTAATACATAAAATTTGGTACAAAATTGGCTTCGAAACCCAGTGGGTTGATATCAATTTCAGCCTCACATTCTTCTTAAATAGATTCTTATAAAGGTGCAAATCAAATGCCAGATTCTTATCGATATACAGAAGTCAATAAATGAGTAAAGCACATTGTAGAAATCCCAATTGGCAGAAAATAAGCACCATTATCAAATCTCACTATCAAACTTGGGAATTTAGGTTGTAATATAATTGCTAATTCACTCATTTATCACCAAATTTCCTATAGCAACACAAATTTTCTAAAATCAAGAAAAGTTGGATCGAACCTGTAGTCATTAACTTTATACAAGCAGTAACCTGTAGTCATTAACTTTATACAAGCAGTTAATCGAAACAATGTGGTAAAGGGCAATCCATGAATTATAATTAAAAAAAAATTAATTATAGAATCAGGAAGTTTCTACTGGCTATATCTAATCAAATTAGTACACCTAAAATTAAGCAAATTTCATGTATTACGAACTACAGACGGATGAATACTAAGAAAGGCGTGAAAGGAATAACTGTAGTGGACAGAAGCAATGGAATGATTAATGGAAAAGGAAAAGGTGGAGTGCGCACTTTATATATACAATTGAAAAAATTAATTTCAAAATTAGATAACTACATATTCATACATAAACCCTTCAATGTTCTATCTACCTCTCACAATTTGGGTTTTGTGGAAAAAAAAATAATGTAGAAAAGAAGAACGAAACTTACTCAGTATAAGAAAGAAGCAAATGTTTGGTCTTGTGTGTGTATACAGTAGGACTACACTTCAGAGAGAGGAGTCAGTTGGATTAGGTGGTGGGTTTTGTTTAAAGGACAAAAACAATCACATTGATGAATCTTTCTTTATTCCATTTATTTAAGCCACTTGTTTGACTATCATTCTTTTTTCTTTTTCTTTTTCTTTTTTAATTCTTATTTTCAGTGCTTGTTTGTTACAAATTAAAAATCAATTAAAATTAATTTTTTGATCATTATTTCACTATATTAACCGTCATTTTTAAATTTTTTTCTCTTTGAGGTAGGACCCACTTTATTTTTAACGGTCAAAAAATCAATTATCAAAATTCCTACCAAACAAGCTCTCAACCTTATACTCTTAAAATGAAATATTCACATAAATCTAAAATTTTTCTTTACCCTTTAACTACACATTCTTCCATAATTTACTATTCAAAAACTAATTTTTTTTAAAAAAAAATTGTCAAATATAGGTTAAAAGTAATTATATTCACACCATAACTTTCAGTTTTTACACCACATATTAATTGCATTTAAAAATTTTAATTTTGGTTCATTATAAAATTTATGTCTCTAACAAGATTTTTCAAAGAATTCTTATCATCAAAGATTCCATTAATTAACACATTTTGTATTTGATAACAATTTTATATCTTAAACTCCGTTAAAATAACGCACAATTTATTTTCCCATCATTCCTTTTTTAAGGGATAATTGCAGCGATGGTTTCTAACATTTCACTGTACCCTAGCTTTCAATGTGTGTCAATAAAAGCCTCAAACCTTTGAAAAATTATCAACAAAGGTCCAAATAGACGGAAAATCATGAGATCCACCGTTAGTTGACCTAAAAAGGGAAAATTAGATATTTTGACTAATATAAATAAGGACATTATCATCAATCACGTATTAATAATTAAATTAAACCCCCTCCCCAATCAAAAAATATAAAATAAAATAAAAAAATCCCACCCCACACTCACCCTTTGCAATGTTATAGCTGCTTTTATGGTGTCACTTAATCCTCCAACATCTACTCTCAAACCCCAATATTACTCATTCTACCATAGTTGCAGTCAGACTAGCATAAATATATTTTGTATACTTATTTGGACCTAAAAATATCAAATTTTAATAATACTTTTGAAAAATTATAGCCCAATTTATTGTATATTTTGTTTAATAGGTGAAACTCGATGAATGGAAGTGGAACTGAAAGAAAAAAGCGAAAATTGGCAAAAAAAAAAAAAGAAGAAGAAAAAGAAAAAAAAAAGAAGCAAGATCCAAAATTTGGAGATTAAAGTGTAAATACTCATAAAGTTGTGTTGAACCTCATGATGAAGATTCGAGAATGTTAAGTGTCAATTGGATGCAATTAAAAGTCAAAAGGAATAAAATATGTTTATAATATTTTCACAAATCAATTTTCAATTGCACCAAGACGCTCCAGATTTTCAACTCAAAATTGAAACCCATTTTTGACCTAGTAAACATTGAAATTAGAAAATGACTATTTCAAGCAAAGTTTAAGCTTTTTAAGTTATCTTTACAACAATTTGAATTGTCTCAATTGGATATCGAAAGAGATAGTTATGATAAAAATACTAAAGGAAATGCAATTTGATTTTCACTTACGGTGCTAAGGCGCCGCCTAGGTACATCTAGGGCTCATTTTGTGCCCGTTTTGAAGTCCATAAAAATTCTACATTCGACACTATAAATACAAGTTTTCACACTTTTGAAGGGATTCCACACTTGGAGAAAAAAATTAGAGAATCAAAGAAGCAATTCAAGGGAGGAAACATCAAGAAATTTTAGATTAAGTGTTAAAGAATAGTCATTGTGGGAACGATAATCCGGATTCAAAGATCCATTGTATTACTTGTTTGATATCATACATTTGCAATAGGAAGAACGCAACACATGGCAATAGACGGTCTACCATAGTGAAATTCAAGGTAGCATAGCAATAGTCGATCTACCATAGTGGCAGTTAGGGTAGTAAAGCAATAGTTGCTCCACTATAGTGGCAGTCAGACTAGTGGAGACCCCTAGCTTTTATGCTATCAACATAACACTTTCTCGAAGCTTGTTGATCATCCCTTACACATTCAACCCCTCAACTTGTTGAAAATTCCATTACTTGGTGGTACGTTGAAGGGATAGCTTCGACGAAGTTTAATAGTGGTTGACCGTAGATTGCATTGTACTCCATGGGGGTTTTGACAACCAAAAAGTTCTTCATGATCCCCACATTCGTTGGGTAAGTGCCTAGCATCACAAAAAGCTTTATAGTTTCTTCTAGTATCACAGTTGTCCCTCCAAAGCTTTGTAGAGCGGTGGTCACTATTTTCAATTTTTCTGGAGAGATTTTCAAGCAGAAAAATGCCTCCCAAGTAAGAGCATTCGCTACACTACCAACGTCGACTAGCACTTTCTTAACATCAAAATTTTTATGTCATCGACAACCACCAAGGCATCGTCATGAGATTTTGCTACACTAATAAAATCTTTCTTACCAAAAGTGATGTTCTTATTGAATCTTGTCTTCCTTTGAATAGAGCAGACCCCAACAAAGCGTACATAATTCTTTATAGCTAAACTTGAGTCTCTGTCTACTGTTATCCCATTGATGATACATTTATAACTCTAGCCCTAGGTGGAGGATGATCGTCAACTTTTTCCTTGCCTCGATCATTTCTCACATACTTAGTGAGAAATCCCTATTTCAGAAGGTTCTCGATCTCCTCCTTCAAGTGTATGCAATTTTCAGTGTCATGTTCATGGTCTTTATCAAAATGACAGTACTTGATTTTATCCCTCATGCTAGCAAATGAGACCATTGATTTTGGCCAATCAAGCTCTTTCATGCACCGTATCTTCGTCAATAACTCAGCACGCAGGGTATTCAAATAAGTGAAGACCTTAATTTCCTCTTTCCTTTGCCTAGTTGATCGCTCCGCCTATCTTTTACTTACGCGCTTTTTTTCAACGTATTTCTATCAATGACTTTTCGTTTATGCTGTAGCATTCGCTTATGAGTTTCTGGCTCCCTCCATTCTTGAAGATTTTTCTACATTTACATATTTGTCTCCCTTCTCCAACAAGTCATGCATCAATTTTGGAAAAATTTTCGAAAGTGACACCTTAAAATCTCAGTTTTCGCATTCCATTCATGAATGCAATTACCACATTAAATATTTAGAGGTCCTTTATGTCAAATATAGCCTGACTAAATCGAGTCAAGTAATGTTGTAAGGGCTCATCTTTTTCATGGACAAAGTGTATCAATTTGATAGTTGTATTCCTCTTTCTCTTGCTCTTCAAGAAATAGGCTTCAAAGCTCATCTAGAGCTCATCAAAGATCTTAATAAACCGTGGTGCCAGAGTTGCTACCCAATCTCTGGCCTCTCTCCTTAATGTTGGTGGAAAGAATCGACACATCATTGCATCTAGAGCTGCGTATAGTCTCATTAAATCAATGAAGGTCCGTAGGTGATTAAATGGATCCGTGACTCGATCATACACCTCTACCGTTGACTATAAGGGCTCATCTTTTTCATGGACAAAGTGTATCAATTTGATAGTTGTATTCCTCTTTCTCTTGCTCTTCAAGAAATAGGCTTCAAAGCTCATCTAGAGCTCATCAAAGATCTTAATAAACCGTGGTGCTAGAGTTGCTACCCAATCTCTGGCCTCTCTCCTTAATGTTGGTGGAAAGAATCGACACATCATTGCATCTAGAGCTGCGTATAGTCTCATTAAATCAATGAAGGTCCGTAGGTGATTAAATGGATCTGTGACTCGATCATACACCTCTACCATTGACTGTTTGCAGGCTTTTAGTAGAGAAATTGCCATGATTTTAGAGCAAAGAAAAGACCATTTGCCTACGTCTATCATTTCTCCTTGACAATGTATCGTCAATCTTCTGGACCATCATATCCTCTATCTTTGTTCTAAATCTACCGTAGGACATGGAACCTATGGATACATAACTTCATGGTACCCTTGCTCTCCAACTGTTTCCTGAATAATAGGGGATTCTACCGTTTGAATCACTTGGGGATATTGCTTACATGTATCTTATGGTAGAATTCCTGGTCGGCTATGGGATGAACCAAGCGCTCTCTATGTCTGAATTAGCAAAAGAGTCATCATGGCACCCAACTGGGTCTCCAGGATGTTAAATTGACTTTGCGTTATATATTGAGGTTGTTGTGGCCGAGGGTCTTGACCCTTGAAGAAGGATTCTGACTCCGTAATATTTTCAACTAAGTGCGTATCATTCTAGTTCGACTTTTTGACATAGCTTTTATGTTCAATTATTTCCTATAGATAGCACCAATGAAAGACTTCCTTAGCAGAGTTTTTGTTGTTCTGATGAGCAATCGAACACCTGTAAAAAGAGGCCAGGGCTTTCTCTCCCTTTGTTCTTTCGACGTAAGAATTAGTAATGTAATAAAATGACTTATAAAAATAGAGAGAAAATATATTGTGGAAAAAAAACTAAACTCCCATACCTGGCACACCTTTAGAGTATTTATAAGTATTTGATGTAGTGTGACCCTCAGACGGTTACTGTTCACATGTCTAGTATAACATGTCCATTCATTAGACAGTTTTTGCCCAAAACCTGAGTATACGATTTCCACTCACCATAAGGTTAGTAGATGAATGATAACTATCGAGCTGTTATCAGTCAACTAAAAAAGATG